AAAAAAAAAAAAAAGAAAGAATCAGCTCAGGAAAAACGGAATGTTTCAGGGATACACTTCATTTACTTTTTAAATTTTCCTTTTCAATCACGGTCTGCTCTGTCGCCCAGGCTGCAGTACAGTGTCACGATGACAGCTCACTGCAGCCTGGAATTCCTGGCTCAAGTGATACTCCCACCTCAGCCTCCTGAGCAGCTGGGACTACAGGTGCGCGTCACCATGCCCGGGGTGTGTGTGTGTGGGGGTGTGTGTGTGTGTGTGTGTGTGTGTGTATTTGTACAGATGGAAGTGTATATTATGTAGAGATGGGAGTCTCACTATGTTGCCTAGGCTGGTCTCAAACTTCCAGCTTCAAGTGATCCTCCTACCTTGGCCTCCCAAAGCACTGGGATTACAGGTGTGAGCCACTGCACTCGGCCCAGGTATGCATTTTAAAGAATGATAATACCTTTTTTGTATACCATTGAAAAAATGGACATAGGTAACAAATTTATTTTATAAAATAAAAGACTGTTAATAATATTACTATAGCTACTAACATGCTCCTGTCCATGCAAATCTCAAAGGAAGTAACCACACAGAAGAAACTTTACAATCGCCCATTAGACCCTGAGCTGCTGCTCACCCAGTTTCAGGGTTGCTAAGGGCTCTCTGAATTCTATTACACACTGTTTTTTTGAAGGGGGATACTTGTAGCAGAAAAAGGACTTGGATTTAAACAACACTGAATCACACTACAAGAGAGTTAGTTACTCCCCTTCTTAGTCCTTTTGGATTCTTCTGGTTTTGCCAGGTAGAAAGTCTGCGTGGTGCAAGCCCGTCTTTAACACTCCTTTTGTTTAACAAAGAGACCAGGCTTTCAGCTCCCAGCCTTGGCAAGGAATCACCTCGAGCTAGTCTTTACCCATGCTATTTTACTGTTGTATCTTATTTTTACAATTGCCTTCTATTTATGGCAACTGATACTGTTTTTCCATTTCCCAATAGTGACAAAAACTTTCCATCATATTTTTCTAAATAAAAAAGACGGGCTGACTTAAAGAAAAATAAGTCAAAGTATAGGCAGCATAAGGGAAATGGTAAATGCAGTCCAGGAAAGGCGAATGGGTGGGAAATAGTACATGACTGCTCCAACCTCACCATTTTTCAGATGAGCAAACTGCAGACCAGCCTCTTCCAAGGTCCCATAACAAGTCTAGGGACCTTAGGCTTTGAATCCATGTCTGGTGCACTGTCCTGCCCTCAGTTAGGGCTGTGGGTATTTATTTTGGCTTCTGCCTCTAATCCTCATACTAAAAAGCAAGGTATGGAGCAGGACAAGTAGGAGGAAGGAGCTACCTCCCAACCCTCTCATCCCATCCAACCCCAAGCACCCCTGTACACAGGTCTCAGATCAGCAGCACCCCCTCCACTCTGTACTCAAAGACTCCATTCAGGCAAATAAGCAGCCCCCCCCCAACCTGCCCCACGGCAGTCACTCATGCCTCTCAGCGTTATGCGTCTCAAACCTCCCTGGCCCAGACCTGCTCCAGCCCAAAGTGGGGATTTTTCTCCCCCTTTGCTTTCATCTATTTCATGCAGGAAAGCGGAAGAAAGCTTTGCTCACTGATGTCCAAGAGGATGTGGTTCCTGCACGGGAGATTTATCCCAGTTAGTCTGGCCTTTGGCAAAATAGCATCAGAGTAGTGCAACTGTGCTTTTGAAATTCAGAGTCTGATGGTTCAAGCCACTCAACCAAGGCCCTAGGCTGGAGCATCAAAAGTGAGCTAATGCAAAGAAAGCATCTAGCACAGTGCTTGGCACACAGTAAACAGTCACAGTCCAGCAGCTTTAGCATTGTCTTAGACATTTTACTCCCTATTGTCATATTAGTCTGGATGAAAAGGCCTTTTTGTTTTGTTTTTTGGACAAACTACAGACCAAGGTAACAGGTCCTTATACAGCCGAGCAGCCTGTGCCCTGCACACCCCAGGTGGCACCATACATAGACCAAAAGGTGAAGGAGTTGCTCTTGGGATTGTACAGTGCACAGCCTGCACAACCAGACCTGGTATCCCTTCATGTAATTCACTACAAATTCCTGATCCAGAAGTCAAGAAGTCTGAGTTTGGACACTTATTTCTCCAGTAACTTACTGAGAGATCTTAAGCAAATCCCTTTCTCTCTCTCTGCCACAGTTTCCTCTTCTGTAACAGGACTTGTGTCTGAAGTTTCCTCCTGCTATAAAATTCTGTAATTCTACAGAACCAATTTCAATTTTTGAAGGGCTGTTGCACAAAACATGAAATAAGCTTCCTCACCTGGCTTGGGAGAGAAGAACCAAGAGGCGAACAGTTCATGCCTCAGTCAGAAATAAACTCTTCCTCATGATCAGAGCACCCAGCACCGATGAGGCAGCTCTAGGAGTGATGGGCTCCCTGTGGCTGGAGGATTTCAAGTATACTGGGTAAGCACCTGTTAGAGGTGGGCGGTCTCTTCCAGCACGGAGAGTTTATTGTTGTAAAGCTTAGTTCCGCCTTCCCCAGTGCTAGGAGGCACTCGGCTGGGCCTGGGTCTTGTCCACACCTGCTGATGGTTATTAATGCAACGGACTTGTCAGTTCTGCCTCTCTACCCCTCCTGCAGCTCGCTCAAGTCCACATTCTCCAAATTAAACTCAGTCTCCCGGGCTATGCTGGTGTTTACCTTTGCTCTGGCAAACAAATCCTTTCATCCTAGAAATAACCAACAAATAAATAGCCTTACCCAGACTCGGGGTAGGGAGAAGATGGAGCTGGGACGGGGAACCACGCAGAATACTCGAGAGAATTATCCACGCAAACACTTCCTAGCAGCTCTACTCCAACAACAGCTAATGCTAATTGCAAATCACCCTTATCTAGGCAAGACTGCGGGTCCCCTAGGAATCCCTAGCAGCAACAGCTGTGTAGGACTGGTTTAAGTTTCTGCACGTGAGGGAAAAGAATCAGAGGGTTTCTTTTAAAATCACAATCGTTTTGTTTTTCATTAATTCAGATCAGGTGCCCCCAAACAGTGTGGATGGTTCAGGGCGAACTGCATCACCTTTAAGTTGCGTCCATAATTCCACGAGGAATGACAAGATTTGGCAATTATCCACTTGGGATGATCAATGAGGGGCACTCATTCAGCCTTGGGAAGGTGGGGTCAGAATACCCCCACTGTTGTTCAATAACTACACTGTCTCACTTTCAAAGTGAATCAATTTAAAAAAAAATCAGCTTGGATGTAGCTCTTAAAGACCTCCATTCAGAAACTTAGCTCAGGGCACCATCAGTTCTTTAAACAACTTAAATAGTCTTTTCTAGTTCCCTGTTGAATACGCTGTATATTTACCCAATAAAAAGGTATCAATCTCAATTTAGGGTATTTTCCTGATGTGAAAGATATAGTTTGGCAAGATTCCAGAACCTTCTCTCTTGATGACTCTCTCAAGGGGAGTAGCAAAGCCATCTGCCTAGGAGATATGAGAACTGTCCCCCAAATAATGTAAACAAAAATGCTCTCACATGTACCGTATTTGGCATTTTATACACTGCTTTCATATAGAATATCTACTCTGATTTTCTTAAACCCTCTGCTGTGAGGTAGCATGAGACCCATTTCACAGATGAAGTAACTAAGGCTCAGAGATGTAAAGCCACTCACCCCTAGTCAACACAGCTAGTAAGAAACAGAGCCTGAGGCTGCAAGGAAGTCCACCTGTCCCCCACACCCATGCTGCCTCTTGGATGGTTACAGCTGCCAAACCAAAAAGGAATAGAACGTAAGGTACCTTTCCGCATCCTGGTCTGTGCTCTGCTGTTTGCTCTCAAAGGCATTGAAGCTGCTCATGTCCACGTAGCCATCGTTTTCATTTGCTGTGGACAGGGCTCTGCTCTGATCTTCAAACAGCTTCGTGAACGCACCAGCCCTGACAGGCCTCTGGGGCGGAATCTGGATATTCTCATAGTCCGAGTTCATGGCTGGAATGTTCTCATAGTCCGAAGTGTCAGCGCTGGGGAAGGAGATGGACCGTGGCTTGGTCAGTGGCAAGGGCAGGAAGGGTGGCCGGGAGCGGTCTTCAAAGGACTCCACTCTGGACACTGTCCTGCTGAAGGGGACGCCTTTTCTCTTGCCATCTCTATAAAAGATGAGGGAAGAGGGGGATTCAGAAGCCCGGAGCTTTCCAGTCCGAGACTTAAGCTGAGGGGAGTTACTGAGGCTTCTCCGGTCAACTTCCAGAATCCTGGAAGGCCCGTGGTAGCTGGATTCTGAAGAGGACCTAGAGGAAGACACGTTCACATCCACGTGCAACTTGTTCTCCGTCTTCTTCTTAAACGTCAGCGCCAAGAACCGCTTAAAGGATGACTTCTTCTTCTTGTACTTGTCCGGGGAGTCGCTCTCGATCAGGAGCGAGGGAGAGCTCTTTGTGATGGGCTTCTTGGTGATGCAGGCCAGGTCAAAAGGGGGTGGGATGTCGACCATGGAAGAAGGCGTGGAGGTGCCGCTGGATGGAAGGTGGTTTCTCTGGGAGAAGCTCCCAGAGGAGCCAATCACACATGACAGAGAGAGGTTGTCCTCTTTCCTCTTTATCCTGTGGTCATCTAAACCTGGACCCTCAGTCTCCTGGTACACGGAGACCGGAATCTCTCGGCCTTCCACAGAGAACGACCGAGGGTATAAAGTGAAGGCCCTGGGCTTTGCTGGCAAGGCCCTGCCGACTTCTAGGGGCTTCCCCTCCAACGACAAAAGCGTCTTTCCTGCATCCTCTGTGATACCTCCAGTGCCGGGGGCTGACGGGCCTGCCTCAGGTCCGGTTTCTTCAGGGACAGTTTCTGGGACATAGCCGGCCACTTTCCCAGAGTGGGGCCGGGCCCTCGTGCTGGTGTTCTTCCTGTCCCCGGGGACCAGGCCACCTTCTGCCTCACAGTTCATTTCTTCTTTTGAGCCATAACCACCCAGGGTGTCTGACGCAGCCTGCCCTCCTTCTCCAGGGGCCGCCCGACCCGGCAGGTTCGCTCCCATCACATAAGGGTTGGCCAATGCATCATCCAACGCCTCCTCCTCTGACATGACCACCACATCAGGGGCTGCGAGACCCTCTGCTCCTCCACCCTGCAGGGAACCACACTGGCCACACAATGCCCCTGCCACAGGGTCCTCCTCTGCACATAGCCCCAACTTTGGTGCCTGCTCTGATTCTAAGCCTTTCGCTGACTCAGAAAGAGAACAGCTCTCGCTGCAAAAGGAGGTGCTCTCAGTTGGGAAGAACTCGTAGGGGCTTCCTGTGAGGGAAGTCACAAAGTCCTCCACGCAGTCATTCTCAAAAGGGACGATCTGGCAGCTCTCCTCGGCAGGCTCATCCTGTGTGCGGTCCTCCAGGGTGGCGGCTGCCACTTCTTTGCTGGTTTTCTCCTCATGGTCAGGTGGTTCATCAAGGTCAACCTGTTCCCCACCTGTGATGCCCATGGCCTTTTCGCACCCCTCCTCAAGAAGCTCAGGGCAGTCCATGGCCATCTCTGCCTCCTGGACCCCTGTGGCAGGCTCCTCCTTCTGAGGGGGCTCCTCACTGGCATCCTCAGTATCCTGTCCCATGTCCTCGGTGGGGCTGTCAGGACCTGCACCCTCATCTGCGCCCGCTGGGTCTGCGCTGGCACAGCCTTCCTCACCATCCTCCTCTGCCTCCCCAGGGGTGGTGGGGGACTCGTGCTCCTTTCCATGGTCATGAGGCAGGAGAAGGTCACTCTGGAAGACCCCCTCTCCAGCCCAAGGCCCACCATCCTCCAGGCTGCACTCCCTGTGTGGCTGCACCAGTTTCTCTTCCTCCTCACTTCTGGACACCTGCTCCTGTGACCCTGGCTCATCAGCGTAGCCCTCCCCTTCGCCCTCAAGAGGAAGGTCTGTGCCTTCCTCACCCTCCCTGCTCAGTGCTCCTGCAGCCGGGGCAGCGGGGGCTGCCGAGTCCTCTCCAGCTCCCATCCCATCCATGACACATGCCTCGCCTCCCTCCTCATGCTCCTCTTCCTCTTCCCCAGAGGCCTCTGGAGACACCAGGGCTGCGTTCCCCACACTGCCCACATCCGTGGGTTTGTCTTCCCTCAGCAGAGCCCTGGGGACCACAATGTAATCCTCATCTGTCTCCGACTCAGAGCACTTCGGGACGGACCGGGGCCCCTCGTCAAGGCCCCTGTCTACACAGAGCAGCCGCCCATTGCTGCATTTGTTCAAGCTGTCATTCAGGTACACACTGGCTCTCCACTCATTTGGGGCAGCCAGCCTGGGCTTGGGAGCAATGGGGGGCTTCGGACCCCTGAACATGGAGTTTGGACTGTGAAGACTATCAGGCCTGGGTGAGGAAGGGAATTTGAGTGCGGTCACCGGCGTTAGTGGACTGGTAGTCTTTGGTTTAGGAGCAACAGGTGGTTTCGGCGAATCTAGAGGACAAAAATGGAGAAAAGAGAAAAAGTACAATTAACTTTATTTCCATTCAGAGTCTCCTACATACCACGGGCAGGGGAGCTGCAGATGGTTCCCTCTGCCCATGTGAAGCTCACCTCCTCTGCTTTATGTTAGGCTTATATCCTCCACCAGAATCCTTAAAACCCCATGATTTTCCACTGAAGATTCATTCTGTAAACAAAGTGAATAGACCTTTCTTCTACATGTAGCCCAACTAACAAAAATCAACCAAATGAAATCCTGCACTCCTCAAATGAAGTCTCCAGGTCAGTGCATTCATTCATCCAACAGCTACTGGTAAACACTTGTTGTGAGCCAGCAACCATGAGAAAAGGCTGAACCTGCCGCCACCCTCCCTGCTGCCCTCATGGAGCTTCCATTCCCCCTTCTATACCTACTCCATTGGGTACCTACTAGCTACACTGCAGACGACAGGGTCTCCTAGGGTCAAGCAGAGAAGACAGCCTCTGCTGAGAACTCATAGTTGAGTTAGAACAACTGGAGGTAGAGCTGGGGACCCTTGGAACATTATGACTGAATAGCTGACATCTCTTCCCTTCATGAATGACACACCAAAGGTTTGAAACAGTGATGTGTGCTTCTGCTGGAGGTCACATGGGGAATCTGCATGCTTGAGGACTGTGTCCAGCCAGGCCTACACCCAGACTTCATGGGAGAAATTATATGGTACTTGCCAACATGGATATCTGCAAAAAGTCTTTTACCTGTGGATGCGGAGGACCTACTGACTGTGGCAGAATAAAAGATGTGGTGCAGACTACAATGCAAAAGGAATTAGAGAAGCGTGGGCTGCTGTGGCCAGGGAAGACCTCTTGAAGAAGGTGACATTTCAGCTAAGATTTGCAGAATGGGAAGGATCTAGAGAAGGGGAACGGTCCAATGAGTGGTTGCCAAATTTCGAGCTCAGCATCTCTCTGCCACAAGATTGCTCATGCCTCCTCCCTGGGTTCCCTGCCACCTACCTGGCCCCCTCCCTTGAATACTGTGGGCATAGAACCCATCTCCATCCAAACATCTCTGCTTCAAAAGCACTGCCTGGATCCCCACCACTCATGGATTAGAACTCCCATGTTTCCCTTTCAGCATGGTCTCATCTCCCAGCTCCAACCCCACTAAGGCTTGGGTATGACACAAGTGGCTCAAAACAGCAGCCTGGCTCCTGATGGGAGGGAAGATGAAACAGACTGCCCAGAGGTCTCTGCCAGCAAACTCTTCTCTTCCCATTCATGTTAAGCCCAGTTATGTCCCTGAAGCATCTCTAATCCAGGGCTGTCCCTAGGGTATGTGAGCCACATATATCACTACATAGGTAATTTTTAATTTCTCATAGGCACATTAAAAAAAATGGGTAAGGCTGAATGTGGTGGCTCACACCTGCAATCCCAGCACTTTCAGAGGCTGAGGTGTGCAGATCACTTGAGGTTGGGAGCTCGAGACCAGCCTGCCCAACATGGTGAAACATTATCTCTACTAAAAACGCAAAAATTAGCCAGGTGTGCTGGCAGGGGCCTGTAGTCCCAGCTACTCGGAAGGCTGTGGAAGGCAAATAACTTGAACCTGGAAGGCGGCTGCAATGAATCAAGATTGAGCCACTGCACTCCAACCTGGGGGACAAGATCAAAACTCCATCTCAAAAAAAAAAAAATGGGTAAGGTAATTTTAACAATATATTTTATTGGACTCAATATATCCAAATATTATCATTTCAATATGTAATCAATATACAAAATGTATTAATGAGGTGTTTGCCATTCTTTTTTCATACTAAGTCTTCCAAATCTAATATGCATTTTACATTTGCTGCAGCACATCTCAATTCAGACTAGCTACATTTTATGTGCTCAGTAGCCACATGTGGCTGGTGACTATGGATGGCACTGTCCAGCACAGCTCTAACTGGTTTTAGACAGCTCCACGGGACTGTCCCACTGGCACCTCAATTTCAGTATTTCTGAAGCCAAAGTTGGTATCAGTGCCAATGAGTTTAAAGATTAAAACAGCCGGCCGGGTGCGGTGGCTCACGCCTTTAATTCCAGCACTTTGGGAGGCCGAGGCGGGTGGATCACAAGGTCAAGAGATCGAGACCATCCTGGTCAACATGGTGAAACCCCGTCTCTACTAA